ATAAACTGGAGAGGAGAGAGGAGCCCCCAAGTGCAAGAACTGTTCTGAGAGGGGCACATGGCTGTGAAGGCACAGACCCAGCCCGGGGGGCCAGGGAGGACCAGTCCCCCCAGCTGGGGCTGGAGCCAAGCACTGGGGTGGGACAGAAAACAGGGGACCCAGTGCAGGTACCGGCCACCTTCCCCACACACCCAGCCCTGCCCCGGCTCAGCTCCCATCCGACACCTCATCCCAGCAGGGACAGGGTGAGGCCGGGGTGGTGGCAAACCTCCATGTTTCCCCAGGGGAAACCGGAGAGCGGGGCCAGATCCACTTACAGCCCTTCCATTATTGAGGAGCCCAGCGGGACAAAGCAGAGGGAGAACATTGGGGCGGCGGCTGTCACAGCCCCACGCGGGGCTCCTCTTCACAGCATCACAGAACGGTGGGGATCATCCAGTCCAACCCCCTGCCAGAGCGGGGGCACCTGCAGTGGGTCACACAGGGAGACATCCAGGAGGGTCTTGAATGTCTCCAGAGAAGGAGACTCCACACCCTCCCTGGGCAACCTGTCCCTCACCTGTTCCTGGCACCCTCACTGTGAAGAAGTTTCTTCTCAAGTTGAAGCAGAACCTCCTGTGTTCCAGCTCACACCCATTGCCCCTTGTCCTACCATTGGGCATCACTGAGAAGAGCCTGGCTCCATCCTCCTGACATTCACCCTTTACATATTTATAAACATTAATGAGGTCACCCCTCAGTCTCCTCTTCTCCAGGCTAAAGAGCCCCAGCTCCCTCAGCCTTTCCTCAGCAGGGAGATGCTCCACTCCCTTCACCATCTTGGTGGCTCTGTGCTGGACTCTCTCCAGCAGTTCCCTGTCCTTCCTGAACTGAGGGGCCCAGAACTGGACACAATATTCCAGATGTGGCCTCGCATCCACATCCCTGGGGACCCTTTTGAGTCCCATCCTATGGGACAGGGTGATGGTCGTATCCCAGAGCGCAGCCTGTCCCTCCCAGAGCCCTGGCAGGGACCACAGAGACCAGTTGTGTCCACACCACATCACCACATCCCACCCTGGGGAACATGGAACGGGATTTGTTTTCAGCAAGCAGCCTTCACTAGAGGCTGGGCTTGGGGGACAAGGGGTGCAAACTCCTCTGCTGAGGGCTGAGGTCTGGCCAAGAGTCACTCATGTCACTGAGCAAACCTCACGTGAAGGTTCCTGTGCTCCAGGTAAGGGAACAAAGGGAAACACAGTGTCCTGCAGCTCTACACGTGGGCAAGCAGAGCCCAACCTCACTGGCCTCCCCGGATGGGTCACAGCAGGTCCCCGATCCCTGCTGACCACCACGGCTCCATCACTAGAGTCACTGCAAGGTCTGAAAGATGAAAAACCATTCTTCTATATTTTATACATTTCTGAAAGATTGAAAACCATAGAATCATGGATGGGTTTGGGTTGGAAGGGATCTGAAAGCTCATCCAGCCCCAACCCCCCTGCCAGCAGCAGGGACACCTTCCACTAGACCAGGTTGCTCAAAGCCTCATCCAGCCTGGCCACAAACACTTCCAGGGAGGAGCAGCCACAGCTTCTCTGGCCAACCTGGGACACTGTCTCACCACCCTCACACCAAAGAATTTCTTCCTCACATCTCATCTCAATCCCCTCTGCCAGTTTGAAGCCATCACCCCTCGGTCTATGTTTATACATTTCAGCTTTGAAAAAGGCTCCCATGGGGAGGCACCTCCTTGGGTGAGGGGCATCTGCCCATATTTAAATATCCTTGTTTAAAACCAGCAGGTCTGTTGGTAGCAGGAAACATCCCGTTCACCTGTGTCCTGCTGGGCCACCCGCTCCAGCCGCACCACCAGGACCAGCTCCAGGGAGAGTTACAGGGCTGAGAGCCATTCCCCATCCATCCGGAGCGGGTGCTGCGGAGCCACCTCTGCCCCAGGACATCAAGCACATCCTGGACACTCTGTACACCTGATGAGAGCATCTTCCTGCTTCCACAGACGTCAGAGACATGCAGCTCCAGGGTTTGTTCCGTGTTTCTCCACAGGAGCAGGAGTGAGGCGCAGGCTGCTGTCCCCATCCCCACTCTCAGCAGGCGAGGGCAGAGCTTTGGATAGACACCAACCGGCTGCTCCATCCTCCTGCCACCCAGCCCCGAGCTGGGAACCGAACATCTCAGCCCCCATCCTCCATGTCTGTATCTCCTGCAGAGCAGAAGTGGTGATGACCAGGCAAACTGTGCTGGAGTTATTAGATATTAGGAAGAAGTTCTTCACTGGACAGACACCAACCGGCTGCTCCATCCTCCTGCCACCCAGCCCCGAGCTGGGAACCGAACATCTCAGCCCCCATCCTCCATGTCTGTATCTCCTGCAGAGCAGAAGTGGTGATGACCAGGCAAACTGTGCTGGAGTTATTAGATATTAGGAAGAAGTTCTTCACTGTGAGGGTGGTCAGACACTGGAACAGGTTGCCCAAGGAAGTTGTGGCTGCTCCTCCCTGGAAGTGTTGAAGGCCAGGCTGGATGAGGCTTTGAGCAACCTGGTCTAGTGGAAGGTGTCCCTGCTGCTGGCAGGGGGGTTGGGATTGGATGAGTTTTGCGATCCCTTCCAATCCAAACCAGTCTGTGATTCTATGATTGTGCAAAACAGGAGTTTTCAGAAGAAAAGACCTTGAAGGACGTTCTGCAAAGCACCTCGATTCTGAGGAAAACGGGCTCTGAACAGACGAGGAGAGTGAACATGAGCCGAGAAAGAGCCCCCGCCCCAGAGAACGGGTAACGGTGCAAGCAAATGACTTTCCACTCACTGAACTCCAGCGGAGAAACTCCACCACGTGACCCCTGAGGACGCCACCGAGTTCAGTGGTATTGAACCCACCGCAACAAGGAGGTTGTTATTCACTCGTTGCCCTGGAGCCGTTTCCTTCTGCACAGACACCACCACGTGTTGCACAATTCCACGCAGTGTGGGCAGCTGCAGCCTCAACACGCAGCTCCAGCACCAACTTGCTGCCCTTCCTCTTCTGCACCACAAAGGCCACCACAATTCAGAGCTGACTCCACCATCATGGGAAACAGCTTCACTATCACAGCAACAGCACATGTTTCTTGCCCTGCATCTACTTTCACAGAATCCCAGACTGGTTTGGGTTGGAAGGGACCTTAAAGCTCATCCAGTCCCAACCCCCCTGCCAGCAGCAGGGACACCTTCCACTAGACCACGTTGCTCAAAGCCTCATCCAGCCTGGCCTTCAACACTTCCAGGGAGGAGCAGCCACAGCTTCTCTGGCCAACCTGGGACACTGGCTCACCACCCTCACACCAAAGAATTTCTTCCTCACATCTCATCTCCATCTCCCCTCTGCCACTTTCAAGCCATCACCCCTTGTTCTGTCACTCCCTGCCCTTGGCCAAAGTCCCTCCCCAGCCTTCCTGGAGCCCCTTCAGGTACTGGGAGGCCGCTAGAAGGTCTCCCTGGAGCCTTCTCTTCTCCAGGCTGAACAGCCCCAACTCTCTCAGCCTGTCCTCACAGCAGAGCTGCTCCAGCCCTCGCATCATCCTCGTGGCCTCCTCTGCACTGGCTCCAGTCGGGCACACAGAATCACAGAATCACAGAATGTTGGGGATTGGAAGGGACCTCGAAAGATCATCCAGTCCAACCCCCCTGCCAGAGCAGGAACCTCAATGAGATCACACAGGAAGGCGTCCAGGCGGGTTTTGAATGTCTCCAGAGAAGGAGACTCCACACCCTCCCTGGGCAGCCTGTCCCAGGGCTCTGTCACCCTCACTGTAAAGGTCCATGTCCTTCTGCTGTTAGTGGCCTCAGAACTGGACGCAATTCTTCTAAATTGTACAATGTCACTAATAATGTCATTTCAAAACTTACCTGTTGGCATCAACACGTGTTCAGCAGCAGTGAAAAGGGCACTGTGAGGCAGTTTTTCCCAAATACATTTGTTTGAAGACAACATCTCAGAGCTTCTACCGTAGATCCAAGTTCGGGGTAGATGTCCTTGCTGGTTAGAGTCACATGCAAGAAACTCCTGGCAGCAGCTACACAGAGACCAGGGGGTATTTGCATATGAAATTCAAACTGAGAAGGCAGAAGTCCCTTTCTCCTTCCAGGAGCTTCACTAAACATTGTAAATTGAAAAGAAACGCTCAGTTACTCCCACTGGAGACAAGATCTGATGTGAAATAGGAAGGAGACAATCAACAGGCAGCAAAACCCAGTCCAGGGTTACCATTTCCACTGCTGCTCCCCTGCACCCCAGCACCTCCTCTGCCCAGAGACCCCGACTAGCAGCGGCCAGATGTTCACCTGCTGAATTCAATCTCCAGCCCAATTAATTCTGGACACAACAGACCATGCTCCGGCCAGGCCCAGCCTCTGTGTCCCCTGTCCCTTCTCAGTCAACCCAGAGCCACAGAGAGTTTCAGGGCTGCTTCTTCCTCACAGAAATTAATTTGTTTAGTCAGAAGCCAGATCACCGACTGCTCCCAGGCTTTCCAGTGTCAACCCATCAACACTGCTCTTAGAAAAGACACAGAGTCAAGTCCTTCACTGCTGATTATTTCAGTTTATCCCCTCCATCTCCTCTCCTTCCCTGTTTTATCTTCTCTGAAAAACACTTTCTGGTTTTAAAGGTTTAAATCTTCTTTTCAAAGAGGAAGCATCAGTGTGAGAACTTGGTGCGTATTTACATTCAAGAAAGACTTTTGCCTTACAAATCCTCTTGGAAATCATTCCTGTGTTTGATCATTGATGCTTTTTTCTTTCCTTAAACTTGTACCTGTTGGACTGTGAATGAACATTGTTGATCACCTGCTGCTTTGCTTTCAGCCTCTCAGACACTGAAATATCACACTGTGTTTGGACGTCGTGCAGTAAAAAACAAGGGATTTTGCTTGTAAATTGGTCATATTAAAAATTTCTGGTCATATTAAAGCAGGAAAGCAAAACCTCCTGCCTCTTCCCAAACAACAGAAAACAGGACCACTTTCATTAGCACCAAAAGGATTTTAAATGAACAGTTCCAGGGAGCTCCTTTCAAATCATAAAATGTGAATTTTACATAAAAGTGTGTTTACAAATAGTTTCTGCTTTACACTCAGCTGAGCCCATCACTGACCAGAAGTTATATACATACAGACTAGCTCAGTAGCTTCAACCACTTGCAAAGAGACTGCAGAATTTATTTAAGAAATAAAAAGAAGATTTCCTGGTTCCTAGAAATTCTCTTCAGCCTGCCAGATTCAGTCACCCGCCGGCTCCCGCAGACTCAGGAGAGCACTAAGCTTTCGGAGAGAAGGGGTATTGTGGGTGCCACCAATCCAGGAGCCTCACGCTGTGCACAGGGTCCAGCACAACCTGCACCCCTTGGTCAGGACGAGGTTTCTTGCCGTTGCGAACCGGGGCGTCCTGGAACACCAGGCGCACGCGATGATGCCTCATGTCTGTGCTCACGTTGATGGTGAACTGCAAGAAGAGAGACAAAGAGGTGCTTCAGAAAATCAAAGTGATGAATAGAGTCCTTAAAAGTTCACTTTCAGATTTTTCCTCGGTTGTTTTTTTTTTATAATTCTTCTAAATTGTACAAGTCTCAAGTATTTCAGGTGCTGGCAGAGGTACACTCTGAAAGCACAGCACTGGAATTCATTCAGATCTCTTTGGCTGCCAACCTCAAATAATAATGTAAGAAGTGAACCTGAAAGCAAGTGGCTGTCAGAGGAAGTCTGGAACTCACCAAACTCACCACCCTGCTCTTATGTGAGGCCGGACTGAACTTCTCCCAGCTGCTTCTGAAACCCTGAGTGCCAGGTACAGTGACACGAGCTGCCTCACGCTGTAACACGGCTCCTGCTGAGAACATCTACTCTGCTGCTGCCTGGAGCTGAGTTTCACAGAATCATCGAATGGTTTGGGTTGGAAGGGACCTTAAAGCTCATCCAGTCCCAACCCCCCTGCCAGCAGCAGGGACACCTTCCACTAGACCAGGTTGCTCAAAGCCTCATCCAACCTGGCCACAAACACTTCCAGGGAGGAGCAGCCACAGCTTCTCTGGCCAACCTGGGACACTGTCTCACCACCCTCACACCAAAGAATTTCTTCCTCACATCTCATCTCCATCTCCCCTCTGCCAGTTTCACGTCATCAACCCTTGTCCTGTCACTCCCTGCCCTTGGCCAAAGTCCCTCCCCACCCTTCCTGGAGCCCCTTCAGATACTGGGAGGCCACTAGAAGGTCTCCCCGGAGCCTTCTCTTCTCCAGGCTGAACAGCCCCAACTCTCTCAGCCTGTCCTCACAGCAGAGCTGCTCCAGCCCTTGCATCATCCTCGTGGCCTCCTCTGCACTGGCTCCAGTAGCTCCATGTCCTTGTGCTGTTGGTGTCCCCAGCACTGGAGGCAGCACTGCAGGTGCGGTCTGAGGAGAGCGGAGCAGAGGGGCAGAATCCCCTCCCTCCACCTGCTGCCCACGCTGCTCTGGGTGTAGCCCAGGACACGGTTGGTTGGTTTGTGGAAGTCCATTCAAAAGCTGCTCTTTCTCCCAGCATTCAGGGTCTATATATAGATATATAGCAAGAGTTTCCTCATATAGGTTGTTGCTCTCAGAATTTATTGCCATAAGGTAAGGTAATATTTACTTGAGGAGGGAAGTAAATATTGCCTTAGGGAATAGAGGTAAGTAAACCTCTTCTCCTGCATCCCCACCTCCTGTCCCTGCTGCAGTACTGACAACTCATCTGCCCCCAGATTCTGCACAACCACAGCTCCTTGCAGATTCTCCACATCATCTGTATTTGCTGCACCAAATAGAGATGAGTTGTTGGAAATGCAGAAGCTAAAGTGAGGAGATCCTCAGCATTTCCTCTGATCATTAACCTTAAGATTTCCAGAACTGCTCTGCTGATGCAGCAGTGTGAGTTCCACACCACCAATGAGGTGTCCTCTTCATCTCCTCACAGAAACTGCACGTGCAAAAGTCTGCCTGGCAGATTGCTGACAAACTTACCAAGGTAAACGTCATACCCATGACTATTGGCACGAATATGAAGTTAAAGGTGGTGATCTGCAATAGACAGCAATCCTGATCCGGATTTGTATGGACTTCTTCATACTGAATGGGTGGTTGAAGACCTTTGCAACACTTGCTCTTAAATCTGGGAGACTTGAAAGAAAGAGAGGTTTATTTAGCAAAGCGGGAGGAGCTTGGCTGTTCCTCAGCGGTGCTGATTAGCAGGTTCTCACCCCATTCCCACGTGTTTGGGCAGAGCAATCCCTGACCAATGAAAAGCTCAGGACAGGCAATTTGCAGGACTATTTCTTTAGAGGGGAAAGCTGCAGAATTCCCAAAGTTGCCTGAAATTACTCGCTTCTCCTGAGACCCGTGACTGGAGGTTTTCACTGGCACTGTTGGCTTTCTTCACTTCTCTGTGAAATCTTTCCAACAGGAAAACAAGTTTCATTGGTGAAAACACCATTTCAGTCTCCATTTTGACCACTAAAGTGAAATATTCTGGTTTTTGGTAGTAATCAATAGCAATGACCCAAAGATTAGATTATTTGGGGTAACAAATGATCCACATCCTATAGTGGAGAAAGGCTCTCAAATGAGGAAATAAAAATGTAGGATTTGAAATGTCTTGGTATTAGAGCCTGAAAAATGAGCGTGGTTTCAGAATGTGCTTTAGTTTATAATGGGAGTCTGAGTTTCCATTTATTGTCTGAACACATAAAAAGTTCCCACCTTCCTTTGTACCACCCAGAAAGATCATTAGAAGAAAAAGAAAAGTCACAGCCATTCTGGTTCTTCTTTCATACCTGCTTTTTGAACTTGAAGTTGAATTCCCACATTACTTCTTGTCTGTTCCCTTCAATCTTTTTGCACCAGAAAAGCAGACACTGAGGTGGAGAAAAAAAAAAATAGAAACACAAAATTATGAAACCCTTAGAGACACCACTTTAAATAAGCTTTAGCAGAGCATAAAGGCTTCCAATTATAAACACAATTACACAGGAGCAGTTAGGAGCCATTTATTCAAATTAATTATGTTCAAAGAACACACTCAGCAGTTTAGGTCTCCAGGTTTCAAGTTGGTCAATTCATCGTGCAACCGGATGATACAACACGGGGCCACTGACGTGCTCAGCAGAAAAATCCTGTTGTGTAGTTTGTCCCTTCCCTGAGACAGAGGTGAGCAGTTGGGATCCACTCGCTTCCCCCACCCACCAAGAACTCCCGTTAAACTGGACTCCAAACAAGACTCAAATGAGAAACAACTGAAATCAAGAGTAAGGTTCAAGGAGAGAATCCAGAGGGAAACACACAGACCAACACATGAGCTGTGAGGTGACAAGTGAGAGAGTTCCTAAGTCACTGGGGTGTCAAAAGAAGGTGTTGACACCACGAGGCACTGACTGTCACACTTCAGAGTATAAAAACACTGCCAGGATAGCACAGTCTGATCCACCAACTGTCCCTGCTTAAAGGAAATGAGAAAAGGGCCTCAAACAGCATCAGAGGTGACCAGCACCACCCCACCCACGCAGATGTACACCAGGAATCCTCCAGTTTAATCCAGTTACCCCTGTGTGCTCCACAGGATCCATCCCAGCATGCAGCACTCGTTCTAGAGCAGGAATCTCCTGGACAGCAGGATGACCATGAGCCAGCACTGTGCCCTCGTGGCCAGGAAGGCAAATGGCATCCTGGGGTGTATTAGAAGGGGTGTGGTTAGTAGGTCAAGAGAGGTTCTCCTCCCCCTCTACTCTGCCCTGGTGAGGCCACATCTGGAATATTGTGTCCAGTTCTGGGCCCGACGGTTCAAGAAGGACAGGGAACTGCTGGAGAGAGTCCAGCACAGAGCCACCAAGATGATGAAGGGAGTGGAGCATCTCCCTGCTGAGGAAAGGCTGAGGGAGCTGGGGCTCTTTAGCTTGGAGAAGAGGAGACTGAGGGGTGACCTCATTAATGTTTATAAATATGTAAAGGGTGAATGTCAGGAGGATGGAGCCAGGCTCTTCTCAGTGATGCCCAATGGTAGGACAAGGGGCAATGGGTGTGAGCTGGAACACAGGAGGTTCTGCTTCAACTTGAGAAGAAACTTCTTTCCAGTGAGGGTGCCAGAGCCCTGGGACAGGCTGCCCAGGGAGGGTGTGGAGTCTCCTTCTCTGGAGACATTCAAGACCCGCCTGGACGCCTTCCTGTGTGATCTCATTGAGGTTCCTGCTCTGGCAGGGGGGTTGGACTGGATGATCTTTTGAGGTCCCTTCTAATCCCCAACATTCTGTGATTCTGTGTAATCTCGGCAGAACTCCTGCCTTAAACCGAGTAGGAGGGCAATTCCCTGCCTGCCCGTGAGGAGAAGTGACCAACCTTCAACAGCCAAGGAAAGAATCTGGCAAGTGACTCCAGCCATCACTGAAAGCGTTTCCACACCGCAGATGCCAGCCCACCACAGCTGGGCTTACTTTTAACAGTGTCAGCAGAAAAAGGAAGAATAATAATGGGCACAGACAACATCCCCCCGTGACCCATGCGCCAAGAGAAGGTCTGACTGGCTTGCAGGGTGAAGCACAGTTCAGTTCACTCCAGGACAGCGTGACCCCAAATGAAACAAAGCCAGAGGCAGCCTCCAACACGGGGACTCCGTAATTAGAGACCACAGGTGATACCAGAACCTTTTTTACTTCGAGTCTGAGTCATGTCCATAAACGAGACTCCTTAAAGGACCTTTATCTCAACAATCTTCGTGAGGTGAACAACAAAGCTACGTGGAGTCAAGCTCAGAAACATGCATCAAGTAATCTCCACCTGGGAGGAGGCGGCTCTCAGGTTTTTTTTTCCTGATAAAAATATTCTCCAGCTGTTTGTAAACTCAGGTGAGCAGCAGATGCTGCCGAGTTTAACTCCACCATCAGCAGCAGCTTTTGTAGTTCACCTGCAGAGACAGCCTGGTCTAGCAACTTGTTTGGTCATGGCAAGTAGTGAAGCACAAAATGGTCAGTACCTCCTAAGGGGCAGAGGATGTCATCCACAGGTCAGCCGTCCTGCCCTTCAGACGCGCCGTATGGCCTGCAGCTCCACCAAAAATTATGGGGGTGTCTTTAAAGGGCAAACACTTCTGCTGACACCATAACGGCTCCAGTGTCCCACACAAGCTAGGCTAGGGGAAGAAAAAAGGAAATTAAAGAGGGAAAGCTAGATTCGGTCACACCCGGGGCTGGGGTCTCCTCTTGCCACATGCAGCTTACGTAGGCATTTGCCATTAGTTTCAACGACCCGTAAAGGTAGAACCAAAGCCCATGAAAGCAAGAACGTGAGGAGGAGACATCAAATCCTCCACCACACCCACTGTGCCGAGGTGTTTCTGGGCACAGTAACACAGCTGGAGCTCAAGAGTCTTGCAGTGCAGTTGTACAGCAAGACTAGACTCGGGATGGTTCTTTTATGCTCCAAGGGTTTAGGTCAAACCTCTACAGTTCTCACAAAGCCTCGTCACCATTTAATTTCCTTTTTTTTAAAAAGCTAAATAATAAAAGATCTGCATTTCCAGAATCTTCCTCAAACCATTAGTACAGTAGAAGCACTAGCAGTGGGCACCAAAGCCGTTATGATGTCAACGTGAATGCTTCCAAAACGCCGAGCCAGCCAGGCTCACCTCAGGGTTTCTACCTCTTAGGGCCATGCTACCAGATCCGAGCAGAGGTAGGAAGTTAAGACTCAGAAGGACTAAAGTGAAGTTGGAATTTCCTAGAAACGTTTTGCTTTTTATTTTTTGTTAAGGAAGATGATACCCAAACTGGGGAATCAGGCAGAGAATGAAGAGCTCTGGATGCAGAGATAAGACCACACAGAGAACTGTGCGCTGTTCCCCTGCTCTGCAGCACCACCTGCTTGTGCTACTGCTCCCTAAGCAGCAGGACACTGATCTCCAGTGTCCACCCAGGGAGAAAGGAGGGATGTCTCATACAGATAGATGAGGTTGCTCTATCTTGTATGGAAAAGAAAGTACAACTCTCGAACCAAAATCACTTCAGTTTGGCTTCAAAAACCTCATTCAACAGGTTTTTGACTTTAGATTTGGTGGGTGGAGAATTCACATTGTCGCTTAAGCTGCTCACAGAGTATCAGCCAGTTGCAAGTTAAAACCAAACAAGAGACACGGAGGCATTTCAGAGTTAATGCTCAACAGCAACCACAGAGGAATGGATGTGCAGGTGCTCCAAGCTGGGACAGCAGAGAGAACTGCCTGTCCACATCAGAGACAAACCCTGGACAGCCCCACACAAGTGCAGCCCGGTCCCGAAGCAGACATTCGCTCGGCACATTTGCCATGCTCACAGCCTCGCTCCCCTCCCTCACCCAGACACCAAAGGCCAGGGATGACCCACAGGAACGCAGCATTCCCTTCCAGTGGCACTTCTCATCTCTCCAGATTCCTGCTACAGAGAAAAGATGTGTTCTGGCAGACAGGGTCAGAATAAAGTGGAAGATGTGGGGTTGTTTAGTCTGGAGAAGAGAAGGCTTAGAGGTGACCTCATCACTCTCTTCAACTACCTGAAGGGAGGTTATAGCCAGGTGGGGGTTGGTCTCTTCTCCCAGGCAGCCAACAATAGGACAAGGGGGCATGGGCTCAAGCTCTGCCAGGGGAGGTTTAGGTTAGATGTTAGGAAGAAATTCTTTACAGAGAGGGTAATCAGGCACTGGAACGGCCTGCCCAGAGAGGTGGTGGATTCACCATCCCTGGAGGTTTTTAAAAAGAGATTGGACGTGGCCCTTAGTGCCATGATATAGTAATTGGAGTTGGATCAGGGGTTGGACTTGATGATCTCGGAGGTCTTTTCCAACCCAATCTATTCTATGATTCTATGTAAAAGCTGATCCTACTGCAACCTCCTTTCAGCAACAAATTAGCAACAGAGGAGGGGAGAGCTGCAGATATCCCTGGTAGGTCTGATATCCAGTGAAGCAAGTGCCTTTCTGCTGATTACAAAGCTGTTGTGGTGGGACTTAGGCAGAAGTTACCCAGAAGAGTAACAAGAATCCTCTGCAGTAGCAAGGATACAGATACAAGTAACCAGCAGACTTTTAAAAATCCCTGTTCGGTTAGGAATCACCCTACACCCAGCCTTCACTGGCGACCACATCAACATCATCTATTTTTCTTCTAGAAAGAGAACATAACAACATCTCAAACATATCCAACTTCCTCAGTGATTCCACTTACTCTGGAATTTTTTAAAGTGCTGGGAGTACTGTCTGGAATAGCTGGATTCCTGGAGACTCGAGAGGCGAAGGGCTCGTACATGTGGTAGAGCGACCGGATGACACAGGCACGGAGACAGTGCAGCTTCTCCATGGACTCCGGCCGCAGGCGCAGGGGCAGGTACGCGTCCAGACTGTAGTGCCTGAAAAGCCAACGACAAACCCAACACACGCTGAAGGGTCAGAACACCAGAGATGTGCACAAGAGCCAATGGCATCCTGGGGTGCATTAGAAGG